GGGGAACTGTGCAGATGAATTAGTTAATCTGGGTAACAGATTTCTGTCAGCAAACAATTGACATCCCGGTTGCTAACTAAACTTCATTTTCTGCTGCCCCATTGCAACTCCACAGAAGTCAATGGGTTAAATTCAGCCCTGATGTAGGCAGGCTCAGTTCCAATTGACTTCAGTGGAGCTTGCATCTTTCTCCAACAGGGTTGAATTTGGTCCAGTGTTGGTGTAATGTGGCCTTTCCCTGGAATGTTTCCCCCCCAGGTAGCACCACTTAACCCTATAAAAACGAGATGCATTATGTTGCAATTTGTTTTTGTTGATTCCCAGTTATTCTCTTTGCTTTTCAAGGCTCCAGCCTGCAGATCCCTTTCTTCCTTTCTCTCTTTGCAGAGTCTGTTTTGCAGGCATCGGCCTTTCCTCTCCTGTGTCCCTCAGATCATTAACTAGCTGCACTCTCTCGCTCTTTTTTTTTTTTTCTTTTGAATGTATCAGGCTACTGGAATCAAAGAGGCATTTCAGTGACTCAGGCGTTTCCCATTGCCCTATTCCAGCATCCTCTACTCTTAACGCTGAGAGCTTTTCATGTCCTATTTGGAACTGATAGGAAGCCCTTTCATTGTTTCACTACATGGATATTAACACTGATGAAGGAAATGCTCCATCTGATAACAGAACCGTTGAAAAGAGCACCGTTTCCAAACGACCAAACTCTGAGACAGTGGATTACTGCTGCCCGCACCAACTCAAACCTTCTTGCCTGGTCAGGCGAGGGCATAAGCAGGACCTGTCTTTCTTGCAGCCAACACTGCTCTGGGATTTATTTACCCCCGTTTTTGAGGTTCTTCAGGAAAAGGGGATTTCCCTTGCCTGTGACATGTTCATTGATCATTTTTACTCTTCAGATGAGAACAGAACCCATCATGTTAAGTCTTGATGATCAAGCAGAAAGGCCACAATGACTCAAAGGATCCATTGGCTTATGGAGGTCATTAACATCAGTGAATTTAAATCTAGGATGGATATGGATCTAGTTAACTGCAATAGTTGAGGAGTAATATCCCTGATGGGACATGAGGCTTTGTGGTTCAGATGACTGATTCATGGTTCTTCTCTGCCCAGATGTTTCCAAGCTTCAGGTTATTTCTATTTAATACAATTTAGCATTTATATGGCTATTTTAGCACCTTCCATCCCAGAATCTCAAAGCATCTTGCAAGCTTTAATTAATCAATTCTCACTGCCCCTTCTATGCAGTGGGTAAGTACCATTATCCTCTTTTCACAGAAGGACAAACTGGAGCACAGAGAGAGAAAGACACGTGTTACACAGCAAGTCATTCACAGAGCCAGGAAAATAACTCAGGGATCTTGGCTCTCAGTCTTGTGCTCCCAGAGGAGATCACTGCCTCCAAAACTTCCAGCCAAACGTTCAGCTTCCCTGGTCAACAGGAGATCTGTTCTGGTCCCAATCATGGCAGGTGAGTTTGCCAGCTATTCAGATACAATGTGCACAAGAGAAGCCTGGAGCCTCCTTCCAGCTGCATTCCAGTCCAGTTTCCATTTTCAATAATATTTAATCTAGCCCCTGTCAAAGGAAAGTTCAGTGTCTATATATTGGTCCTCTGGTTTTCATCTTCTCCCTCTGAGCTCCTTGAAGACAGAAGCCGTGCCCATTTTAAGAGGAGGATGTGATAATCTGGGTCCTGACACCCGAAGGGGAGAACAGAAGGTTTAAAACCCCCCAAAGAGCAGTTGAACCAACTGATTACATTTTTTTAGTACAATAATACAGTATGTATTGAGTAAGGGCTTTTATATGAAAGCTTATAATGTTCTGAACTTGATGGTCATGATGCGATATGTATACAGACTGTGGTGATGAACCATCCATTATCCAACCCAGGAAAAGACAATGCTAGATCATTAAAGTTCACGGGAAGACACTACAACATCCCAGCTATCAAGTCAAGAGGGAATTTTCCCACTCTGAATAAACCATGAGTAACTGCGGACAAAGAGGAGGGCAGAAAAAAAAAGGAAAAAGCCTTTTAGAAACAGGCTTGGGACTAAGACATTTTTATCCAGAACTTGAGGGATGGACTCAAGACAAGAGGCTGTATGTGAAAGCTGGTTCCCCCTATCCTAGGGTGTGTTCTGGCAAACTGTTTGAAGGCAATGGGTAATTTGTATGAGAAAAGGGATTTTATCTAATATGGACGTGTAAAACCTGAGGTTTCTGTGTAGCTGGTATATGTTTGCTCTCACTATTTCATCTTTGAATCTGTGTTTTTTTCAAGGCAATAAACTTTTTGTTTGTTTTTCTCCCCAGCCAGCCTCTGGTGTGCAAACTGTGTGGAGTGTGTGCACCAAAGTCAGCTGTTATCTGGGGCGCTGGTTCCAGGCCTTCAGGTGTGGCAAACCAGACAGGAACGGTCAAGTGGCTGGTACTTTGGAACTCGGGAAGGATGGAGTTGGGGAGGCTCGAGACTGGAGGGGCTTCTGCAAAGAGTAACTGGGCTGTTGGGAGCCAGGGGGAGCCCTTGTGCTCATGGGTATGCTACTGGTGTCAGGGAATTGAACCATAGCTGCACAGCAAAAAGATCTCCCAGAGTTACAGAGCAGGCGGTGACAGGACCCTTTACTGGTCTGGGTGGGGTCAACAATGTCACAGAGGGAAAATGCAGAGCTGCTAAAGGAAGGGACACCAGAGCCTGAGCTCCCCTCTCATCTTTCAAGGCAGGGAAGTTTGCACAGCTCATGCTGTTCCTGTTCTGTGGCTAGCACTGTCAGCTAGTACCTTCCCCCAGTGCTAAAGTCACACAAAAAGTAAAAAAAAAAAAAAAAATCTTGTGAGTCTTAAGCAAAACAACTGGCCACTCCCTTGTCAGTATCTGAGTCGTTCCCCTTGATAAGGCACAGCAAAGGGCTTCATCATCACAAGGATGGGCATGCCTCAGCCTGCCTAATGTGTACGTGCTTTTACAATCGTTGAGCACACAACTTGGGCATTTGATCACTCAAGAGGCGAGTGACACCCTTAACCTGTGGATAGGAACACAGGACTTGCCCCACTGAATCAGATCCAATTGCCCTTCTAGTCCAATGTCTTGACTCCTACAGTGGCCAGTACCAAGTGCTTCAGAGGAATGTGTAAGAACCCTACTGTGGCTAGATGTGGGTTAATTTGCCCCCCACGTTAGCTCTCATCCCAGTCCCTAGTAGCTAGGGATTGCCTTAAACCCGGAAACAGATGTTGCTATCATAAATACCTCACTAGTGCCCCCTGCTGCAGTCCCTACTCACCCACATGTACATGCTTTCAAACATCCTCTTGTGTTCTGAAGTCAGGCCCCAACGTGCTCCCTACCATCATTAATATTCATTGGCAGCCCTTTGCTCACACCATTTCTCTTTCCATAGCTCTCTGCTCTTCAAAGCAATGAGACGGGTTTTGATTGTTCAGGGTGTTTTGTTGTATCCTAAAGGTCTCTCCAAAGCTGGCTGGCCTCTCAGTTTTCTGTCCATCCTGAAAGTCATTTCCTTTTGCTGTGGCCGCTCTAATCAATTAACTGCCTATAAATAGCCTTGCTGATTTCACTATGACATCCTCAGTGCATTGTCGCTGCCAACTTCCTTCTCTACCTGGGGAGCTGTTTTTTTCCACAGACCAGAAAAAGCTCCGAGGGAGGTTAGGGGAGGGACAGCGAGAGGGTGGAGTGGGCGGTTAGAGACCTGGTGTTCTGCTCAGTTTAATGGCTCCAATCTCCGGTGTTACTTTCCACTATGTGCCAGGCCCCTCCCTTTCTCATGAGGAAGCTGTGTGGAGTGCAAAACTGCTGCTGCCCTAAATCATTCATCAGTCCTCTAAATATCTGGACCAAATACCCTAGCAGAGCAGAATGGTCCAGTCCTATGAAGTGCTGAGCACCTGGAATTGCCCAGGCAGGCCCCCTTCTGAACAATGGTTTCCTGGCCTCAGAGCTGCACGCAGGCAAAGCCTCACACAACACAGAATCCAACCCCTCCTCTCAGTAAGATGCTTTAGTTAGCATCCAGCAACCCTTGGGTGACCAGAGTTGATGCACCCGGTAATTGGTGATACCACTCTCACAAGATATGGAGGGGCACTTTATAATGGGACTGCCAGACCAGACCAGATCCATGGTGCATGTAGTCCAGTACCCTCTCTGTAACAGTGGCCAGAACCAAATGCTTCCAGGGAAGATGCAAGAAACACCAGAGGAAGCAGGTATGAGATAGTCTGCCCCCTAGGAAAGGCCACATCCTTATCTCTAATGGCTAGAGATTGGCTTAAATCCTGAAACTTTAGGTTTTATATCCAAATATTTTTTTTAGTGTGGACTATTAATTCCTAATATTCTTGTTATTCACATAGTTTTCCAATTCCTTGATAATCTTGGTAAATTCTTAACCTCAAAGACATGCAGTGGCAATGCATTCCACAGTCGCATTATGTGCTGTGTGAAAACCTATTTCCTTTGATCAGTTTTGAATGTGCCACTTTTCCATTTCACTGAATATCCCCTTGTTCTTGTGTTAGGAGACATGGAGAACACAAGCTCCTGATCTACCTTCTCTACACTTTAAAATTGTAATGTCTATGACCATTGCCCTCTCCTTAAAATCCCGCCACAAAGACTATTCTTGGCCAATTCATAATGGCTAGCCGGCTAAGCAGAGAGGCAGATGGGGATACCTGAGACTTTCTTCATCTATTTATAATATCAGAAAAATGCACACGTATATATATATATATATATATATATATATATGCATGCCTATGAACATTGCACACATTCTATTGTATCCCTCTCCCCTCATACTTCTTATGTCCTTGTTGTCTTAGACTGTAGTGTAAACTATTTGGGGCAGGGACTATTTTTAATTGTGTCTCTAGAGCACCCAGCACAATGGGCTTCCCAAACCTGATCTGGCCCTCTGGGCACTACTGCAGTATAAATATTAAATAATAATAATGCTTACCTGAACTTGAGCCAAACGTCTTGCTTCTCCAGAAGTGGAGTGGAAATCTCTCCCTGGCAGTCTTCTCAGGAGATTTATGATGCATGCTTCTTGCTCTTTGTCAGGCTAGAACTACCACAAGAACTGACTTTCTTTACAATGCGTCAGCCCTTCCACCTCAAACTGGAACCAAAAGTGAAAAAGAATTAAATCAAAACATTAACAGACAGTTGCCAAACTTCAAAAGAGGCCTAGTTTGAGTTCTGGATGGAGATTTGTGGGGTTTCTTAATAACACTTTACACTTCTATAGCTTCCATCAGAGGAGGCTACCAGTGTGTGTCACAAGCAGTGAATTAAGCTTCACGCATGGGTGAAGGGAGGCACAGAGCTCTGAAGAGACTAGCTAGTCAGAGACAGGACGAGAACCTATATGACCTGGTTCCATGCTCTAACCGCCATACCATGCTCCCTTCTTTCTTAGCTTAACACGAAGGGACAGGTTGAACCATCTCTAATGATTCTCCACCCTCAGAAAGTGCCCACGGGACTGTGTGTTCGGTACATGAAGAAACAAACTTACTTTAAGCACCAAGTAACATTCCTGAGTACCTGAGCCACCAGCACCCTAGCACAAAGGAGAGAAAACTAGGAACCTTTTTGAGATTCATCCATTGCTAGTTCATAACCGAGCATGGGCATGGGAGAACCTGAGGGTGTTTGAGAATGAGGGTGAGCCCTGCAACACTTTGCTGGTGAGAACTTCCTTCTGGCTGTGATACAGATCTACAGTGGGTCGGCCTTGTCTATAGAATAACCCAGTGCTCCTGCAGGGAGTCAGCATTTTTGGCAGTTTTCATGGTTTGTCCCATGGACACGTGTAGCCAGGGCTAACCAGCTTTTGGTGCTTACTTGGGCACCATTATCCATCGGCTTTGAAGGACTCTATTTCTTCCTCCACCCAAAACCCAAACCAAACCAAACCCGTTTATTAATCATCGGAATTTACAGCCAAGGGAAACTACATGCAGGGGTGATGCTGCATTCAGCCAGCTGGGGCTCTTTCTTTTGCCATCATTTCTGTCTATCAACACACAAGAAATTAACATGGTAAAACATTGTCACTTTATACTGAATTTGTTATAAAGATCAACTGCTGCAGTCATTGCATTCCAAATCAAAATTAACAGATGAGCTTGTTGTTTATTATCCTGGAAATGCAGGAAATAAAGTAGATAAAAACCAGGGAAAAAACATAAAAATTCATAATTATTCATCAACATTCATTTAAAAATAAATAGGGTCTTTTCAAGGCTATTTCTCTATTACCAGATCTCCCAACTGTATCATAGACTCATCTGTTTTGCCACTTTATCCCCAAAAAGCAGTCACTTAACGTGTCAAGACATTGCTTCTCTAACCCTCACCTGACTGTCATATTTGGCTGGTTTATATGTGGGTAGATGAAATCACCCAGAGTTACCATTTCATCAGACTGAGATGCCTCTTTGATCAGCTGCCGGGTGGATTTTCAGGGCTACACTCTGGTCAGCCCTTGCAATTGATCAAATAGCACCACCAGCAACTACACACCACACAACAAAAACACTAACCCAGGAACCAATCACTGCAATAAACCCCGTTGCCAACTCTGTCTGCATATCTATTCAAGGGACAGCGTCATAGGACCTAACCACATCAGCCACACCATCAGGGGATCGTTCACCTGCACATCTACCAATGTGATATATGCCATCATGTGCCAGCAATGCCCCTCTACCATGTACATTGGCCAAACCGGACAGCCTCTTCACAAAAGAATAAATGGACACAAATCAGACATCAAGAATTGTAACATTCAAAAACCAGTAGGAGAACACTTCAATCTCCCTGGACACTCAATAACAGACTTAAAAGTGGCAGTTCTTCAACAAAAAAACTTCAAAAACAGACTCCAATGAGAAACTGCAGAACTGGAATTAATTTGCAAACTGGACACTATCAAATTAGGCCTAAATAAAGACTGGGAGTGGATGGGTCACTAAGAAAAGTAATTTTCCCTCTGCTGATACTCACACCTTCTTGTCAACTGTTGGAAATGGGCCACCTTGATTGCACTGGCCTCACTAGCACTACAAAAGTAATTTTTCCTTCCTTGGTATTCACCCCTTCTTGTCAACTGTTGAGAATAGGCCACTTCCACCTTAACTGAATCGGCTTGTTAGCACTGACCCCCCACTTGGTAAGGCAACTCCCATCTTTTCATGTGCTATAATATATAGTCTGCTTACTGTATTTTTCACTCCATGTATCTGATGAAGTGGGTTTTAGCCCACAAAAACTTATGCCCAAATAAATTTGTTAGTCTCTAAGGTAACACAAGGACTCATTGTTTTTGCTCATACAGACTAACACGGCTACCACTCTGAAACAAATAGCTTCAGAAATTCAAGTGCAAGTCCTGGAAACTCTTCTGCTGGCAGAGGAATCTGTGGTTCTGACAACTGGATTCCAACATGGGGGATAAAACACCGGGAATCACTGCAGGCGAATGGCCAGGGGTTCCATCCTGAATGCTCCCAAACCATCTCGCACAGCATCTCTTCCACAATGAGACCATGGCAGGGTTCAGCCAAAGATTTCACCAGCTAAATGCTCTCACCGATCATTTTGCCAGAGCTAATCCCCAGAGGGATAAAATGAAGGTGAGGGATTCCTTCCCACCCCCAATTTGTGTTAATGATGAAGATCTGTCATGATTCTACTTCTGACCTCTGGGCATGTAGGGGTTTCCTGTCTCCTCCCTCTGACCAGGCGATTACCGTCTGGTACTTAGAGAGTTTCCTTTTGCCCAGCTCCTTCCCATTGTTCTGGAGCCAGGCAACAACTAAGTGCCTCAAGGTCACTTCACACCAACTGTCTGGTGGGTAATAATCTCTCCTCAGAGTGGCTGGGCAGAGGCCGAGAAACATCTTGCTCTGATGTTTACAACTCCATGTTTGATCAGGGATCCTGGGAAACAGCTCATTGACTTTCCCAGGAGAGAGGCAGCCTGACCTCATGCTCAAAGCACTGGGAGTAAGGAAATCCTGAGCATTAACCCCCAACTCTGGTGCTGACTCCCTGTGTGGGCTCCAGAGAGTCACTTAAACTTCCTGCAGGCCACAGTCACCCCTGGGCAGTGGAAGCTGAGGTTTCTGACACCACAGCTTTATCTGGGCCTTGGTTCAGTTTCCCCCACTGTCACATGAAGGGGGGGATGCTTACCCACCTCAGTGAGGGGTTGAGAGATGAGAGAGTTGAAAAGGTAAAGTGCTAAGTATGAACGTATCCGAGTGGAAGGTGCCCCTCACTGCCCTGGGTTAGCTCCTCCAGGTCCCCATACGAACAAGCTAAGTGAGCCAAGCATTCCTCCTCCTCCGCTGCTCATTCTGGTAATTATTTCCCTCTCAGCATCTGCTACAGCAGGGCTTCTCAACCTTCTTCCTTCTGAGCCCCCCCGGCTATTAAAAACTCCATGGCACAACTACTCCTTTTCAGCATCTCCCGTAGATTAAAGGTGGTATTAAAGCGATAGTTATACCATTAAACACCCACACACATATAACAGAAAAGGCAAATATGGTAAAAAATTTTTAAAATGCATATTATTTTTGTTTTACTTACTCACGTGTGAATATTGTTGCTGGTGCTGACCCACGGGCTGGTTGGCTGGCTGAGGTGAGTCAGGGAGTGGAGGTGGCACTCCCTTCACAAGCCCCACCGCCCAGGGCTGAAGCCCAAGCCCGACCCCAAGCCCCCACCCTGTCACCTGGGGCTGAAGTCTGGTTTATTTTGGCAGATCCCTGGTTGAGAACTGCTGTGCTACAGCACCACGCTGCTACTCTAGTGGAACAACAACATGCCAGTGCATGAGGGATCTGGCCCCAGGGAACAAGAGAAACTCAGGAGGGCTGGGCAGAGAGCTAGAAGGGAGGGAGCACCTCACTGCACTGCTTGGTACTTGGAGTGGCCCTGAAAGGTGCTGTCTTTAGTCCAAGGGAGGATTAGCACGGGGCATTAGTGGGAGGAGAATGAAGTGGGTGGAACAACTGTGCGGGGGTCCTGAAACCCCCCAACACAGTAACCTGAACCCTAACATGCAGTGGGAATGCCCTCCTGTGGTGATTGCATGGGCTTCTCCACTCACCTTGTTTCCTGGTGGCATATTTAGCTGGATATTCCATTGCTAGCCTCATGAGTGGACAGCTGCACACACCCAAATGCTGCTCATGGAAAGTCTGAATTTCAGCAATGTTCCTCTCCTGAGGGCCTGAGAGGGAATCCAGAAAGTTCAGTCTCTTTTTCCAAGGCCTGCCTTTGAAAAACAACAAACAGGGCAGGCCCGGCATGTGAAGAAAGCTTTCCACTGCCCATGAAACACACTTAATATCTTGTCACAGGCAGCAGCTATGTGTCAACAAAAAGGATATTTAGAGTGCATGTGAAAGTGAGGGGCTGACAGTCCTGGCTAGAGATGAGCGAAGTACACACAGGTTCTATGTGAGGTTTCCACACATAGCTCTGCCAATGCACCTTATGCATGACCTGCATCACCCCCTGCTCTTCTAGTCCTGGCCTCTCCCCACACAGCTCTGCTAATGCACATTAGACTTGACCTGCAGCACCCCCTGCTATTTTAGTCCTGATCTCCCCACAGCAGCTCTTGTCAATGCCCCTCAATCCTGACCCCAAACATCCCTCCCTGTTTCAGTGCTAGACTCCCATCATAGCTCTGCCAGTGCGCTCCGGCTCTGATTTAAAGTCCTGCCGGCTATTAGAGTCCTGGCCATGCTGCAAATTCATAGACTCAGATTCCATGGCCAGAAGGGACCACTGTGATCATCTCGTCAGACCTTCTGTATAGCACAGGCCGGGGAACTTCCCCAAAACAATTAGTAGAGCAGATCTTGTAGAAAAACAGCCAATCTTGATTTTAAAATTGCCAGTGCTGGAGAATCCACCACACCCCTTGGCAAATTGTTACAAAGGTTTGCAACACAGCTAAACATTTACACTTGATTTCCAGTCTGAATTTGTCTAGCTTCAGCTTCCAGCCATCAGACCACGTTATACCTTTCTCTGCTAGAGTGAAGAGCCTTATCAAATATTTGTTCCCCATGGAGGTACTCCTAGATTGAGCTCCTTGAGAAGAAGATGCATACTCTAGTAGGGATAGGTAGGCAGTGTAGGCCAGGTTCAAGTATGCAGTACAGGAAAAAAGCTACTTAGCGTGGAAACAAGCACAGAGCAGTCCACTCCAGAATAAGGTACTATATTGTCTTGGAGGTTGCGTTGCATTGCTTTGCTACTAGAGACATGATCCTTTCATTGGGGCTGCACTATACTTAAGACCCACTCCCTAGCACAGACAGCATCAGGGGGAGGATACATTGTACAGTGGATATTTTGGTATGGACATAGACTGGTTAATCACCCGTTCAAATCCAGCCCAAGTGGTAGCGATTCACAGCCATTCCCATCTGATGGCTGTACAATGGTACTGGCGTCTGTGAAATGAGTTGGGTGGGTCTCAAGTCCAATTCCAAGTGGGCAGGTGTCCAAGTCTCCCCACAATTGGCCCCCCTGCTGATCAGCTCAGCAGAGGGGCCCAGGATTGAATGGGTCATACAGACTGAAGTCCTCTCCGATGCCAGAGCTGGGGAGCCTGTAGGGCTGGGTGAGACAGACTGGTGGGAAGGGAGGGAGATGTTTGCACTGCTACTGCCCATGTTGCGTGTGTCCTGTTGGGAGAGCATTTCACTCTCCAAGGCTGTCAGTGCAGCACCTTTCTCCAGCATGGAATTATCCTTTCATGCTCCCCGCTCCAGTCATTCAGACAAAACAAGCACCTCAGTCAGTGTCGCCAAATCTTACAACTTTATCTCAAGTCTTCTGATATTTGGTGTTTTTCTTAAAGCCCCAGCCCCTGGAGTCCTGTGATTATGTGAGCAGCTCAGCTTTCTTTCTTTTTTTAAAGTAGGTTTGTAGCCCTCATGGTTGCAGAGTAAAGCTTGAAAAAACAAACTTTAAGGCTCAGAAATCAGAAGGCAACAAAAAATAACCCCTAAATTATTATTTTTTAGATCTCATTATTTTTAAGCCAATCTCATAATTCTGGGGGCCTGACTCTGATTTTTGAATGCTTGACATTAGCAATACTGTTCTGCATGGGGATCATTTTTCTCCTGCCCCTAGAAAAAATGGAAATTTACCCCTGAATACAATCCTAGATGTGCAAAATGGAAATGCAAAATGTAATAGCAATGGCAGAGATGGGCAGGGCTGGGTCCATCTATCTGACTTCTGGAGGGGCCAATATAGATGTGATTGTCGGCTGCTTTGGGGAGGAGACTGGCTGTCTGGAGATGCTGGTGGAAGGGACTCTTTGGTGGATGGCCAATGACAATCCAGCCCCACCAGTGAAACCAGAGGGTCCTCTGCACGTTCCCCAAGAAGCCCAAACACCACAGGGTTGTTGATCAGCCCACACGGGCCCTCCCTCTCCAGCCATGGCCAGCCTTAAACATGTTTCCACGCAGCTGGAGGGAAACCCCAGCTGCAGTCCTGAAAAATAACAAATAATAAAAGTGGCTGTGAGCAGCAGCGGGGCTGGCAGGAAACATTCCCAGTAGCACCTGCTTCCTGAGTGCGACATTTATTTGATCCCCTGGCACCATCTGGGCCATGCCCCACTCTTTGTTTTCATTAGGAGTTTAGAAAAACAATTCAGCTTTGACTAATTACTCTTTAAGGTTTTAGATTCACCCTGTCTCCTCCCTCCAACTTCCTCTCCCATCCCGTTACCCTCATTTGATGCCCTCTCCACCCTCTCTCTGTCTCTCCATTGCCATTTCCCCCTCTTCCCATCCCTCTCCTTACTCCCCCACTTCCTGTTCTGCAGGACACACAAACTCCTCTATGCTTTCATTTCCCAAGGAGCCCCTTTTGCATCCAAACCGGCCAGCGGAGAGGGGCGGGGATGTAGAATCTCTGTGAAGCATGAGAGACTCTCTGCGTGCTGTTCCAGGATGGCTCCTTCCCTGCCCCTGAAGGCAGCTTCAGTACAAATGCACTAGCCTGTTACTGTGTGTCACAACATGTCAGATGAGTCACGATCTGTCGCAGCACAACTGGAGTTATGGCTGTGAGTGGGTGGGGAGCAATTGGAGGTCAATGCTAATTTACAGCTGAGTCTCTACACAGTTGGGGAATGCCCCAGGGGCATCTAGCTTTGGGAACAAACTGATATTACGACACAGTTCTGGAAAGGAAGCCGTTCACTCATGATCCACAGCTGATTCCTGGGCCCATATCTTCTTCCCTGGAAAATAAGTGAGGAACTAGACACCTTACTCAGCTGCCTGCAATCTTTGCAGCATCAGAGGGTTGGTGGCAATTGTTATTCCTCAGCAGTCCTGTGATCCCCATAGCCTCACCTGATGGGTTTAGCAGGGTCGACCACCAAGACAAAGAACCAGAGGAATTCCGGCTGCCTGTTGACATTTATTGTGAAGACTTTGCAATGGCAGTATCCCTCCCTAATTACCACAGCATGTGGATCTGCGGACAATCCATTCTCATGTAATTAGCAGACCACATATGGCATTTTTCCCCTTGACTCCTCGAACTTCAGTGCAATATTTGTAGCTTCTCTCCCCTCTCCCTTTTGCACATCAATAGCACTTCCTGTCTGAGATCTCAAAGCACCATTTAGCATTTCTACTCCCACCTTCCAGTCCAAAAAGAGCCAGTGGCCCCATTTCCTTGCTCATTCCTAACAATCACTTCCTGCTCCATGATCCTTGTGATTATTTGGAGTGCACGGACTGCTGGGGAGCTGGGATTTCCTTTCCTGGAAACCTGGAAACAGCTTTTCTGTTCTCTTATAAACGCCTGTGTAACTAATTCTCGTTCTGTTTATGCCTCATGATATGTGCGCACAGATCAACCAACACGACAGCTCTGAGTACCTTCCCCAGTCCTGGAATCAGAGCCCATTGCATATGGTAACCACAACAACAAATAACATTACACCTTCTTCTGAGCACAGTGTCCCATTCTGATTCCAGTCTTGCCCTTGTGCTGCGTAGCAGCACTTGAGGGCCTCGGGTGCCAGCTTTCCAGTGGAATAGAAATCAGTGATGCAGGCTCTGGATATATTCTCAGCGTAATTTGCTTTACTGGAAAGGAGTGCTGAACTGAGATGGTCGAACAGCATGCAGGGCAATGCCTTCTTCTAAGGATCTCAACCAAAACCAATGCCCAGTTCCCAGGAGACAACGCTCTCAAAGACTAGACTCTAATCAAAGCCCCAGGCAGCAGCAAACCCCCTGCTGCTCATACAGCTCCCTTGTCCACAAACTGCCTCTACACAAAACCTTGTGTAACCCCAAATTAACAAAACATAGCATGTCTTGTCGTCCCAAGAGTCAAAACTTGCTCACACAGTAAGGAAAAGAACTTATATGACTATGTGCAATCGCAGGTGATGCCTTCCACAAAAACATCATCCCATTCCCTAGATTATAGGTATTATCCTGTCTGAAACAAGTTACCTGCGGGCACATGCAGGAGCGTGCACATTGAGAAGGCTTGCCTGAAAGGGTGGATAGTGAAAGTCTCTCTCTGAGAGAGGCAGCTTACATTAGTGATGAAGTGAGAGGGTCCTAACTCAGAAAGCCTGAAGGTGGAGTTTGACAACCTGAGTGTTCAAGGGAATTTGGATCGGAGATGTCGGTATGGGGCTATCCCTACTTACTGCACGACAGACAGTCAGACTCAACAGACACCCTCTAGTCATAGATTTCCTCCCCTTTTTGAGACTCCATTGTCCAGAAGGGGGAAAATGTTATGGACTTTAATAAATACAAATCAATGACTGGATTCCTAGGTGCATGGAGGAGGTGCGAGTATCCATCCAAACCATCCAAGCAAACCAGTCCCACAAGGACAGACTTGCCTGGGAAAGCATTAGCACAGATCACAAACAGTGACTATTTAATAGGCAGCTGACCCATCCCTTGTGTCTATTTACCAAAGGTTTATTCAGGAAAAAGCACAAATGTCAGGACTGGTTTCAGAGTAGCAGTCGTGTTAGTCTGTATCCGCAAAAAGGAGTACCTGTGGCACCTTAGAGCCTTAGAGAGTAACAAATTTATTTGAGCATAAGCTTTTGAGCGCTACAGCTCACTTCATAGGATGCATGTCAGGACTGTGACTCTCCAAGACAGACCCACGCTCGTTGGTCACTTTCAGCTT